ACTTGATATTACTTTTTATTTATGGCTCCATGGCGGAGTGGCTTAGCAATGAATTTCGACGCTGAGGGTCGCGCGTTCGAATCCCCCACGGACAAGTACTTGTATGGCCTACAAATAATTTTTGCGGCTATGGATGTTTGTGCTAGTGAAATTCAGGAAAAAATCCTAGTTTGGGGGAAATGTTTTTTTTTAAATAATGGATATCCGCAAAGTAACGCCTGAATATATTAATTAATAGTCTTTTACAGGAAAGAAGTTGCACGGCCGCGGAGCCACATATTTTGCAAGGGATTTCTTTATGGAAACAGTCTTTAGTTTATTCCCGAGACAGTTTTTAAGTATTTTTCGTAAAAAGACGGTACAGCTGTAGCGACTAAATCATTAAACGAAAAATTGGAAATGTCTGAACTGATTTGTTTTACTGTAAAATTTATTTATTTTACTTTATTAGATAGTGTGGACGAAATTATATCTATTTTTAGTTTAAAATTTATAAAGTTTCGTCCAGAATAGCTAGTGACTTAGATTTTGTAATTATTTCTGTGTTAGCTGAAAATCATATTTAAATATTTACTCAACGCTGTAATACACAATATTTATTACAATAGGATGTCGAAAAACTAAATTATCTTATAGTCCTACTCGTCGCGATATAGAGTCAAGTACGCTGGCTTCTGCTGGTTTTAACAGAATAATATCGGTAGCCAGCGGTCTTGAAAATGCAGACAAAAATGTGTGATTTCTTCACATCATTGTCATCAATGTATTACTAACTTATTTTATAGAAGACTTTTTAAATTTTTTTTTTAAATCTCATATTAACAGTCTACCAAGTAATAAAAATTGCTCTAAATACTTTAAATAAATAATATAAAACAGAAGTTAGTTGAATAGATTTTGTACATTACTTTACTGAAGAGGAAGGAGCATTGACTTCATTAGACGAGACCTCTCCAACTTAACGTTTAGGTTCAGTATGCCTCTATCCATTCGGTGATCGCTGCTAGTTTTCACCCTGGCGATCACTGAAAAGTTGCCATCTTGTCGTCACAATGAAATCAATCTCATTTTTCGTGGAACCGTCTGGGCTCGACCTGGTCCACTTCCTATGGGCCGCTTCTGGAAGAAAGAGTTTATCATAAAAAGTCCCTCTTTCTACATGAAGACAGCCAGCTGCTGGCACCTTGAGTTCCATTGCCCTTTTTCGAATTTCCTTACCTTCAACTCGCCGTTGTCTCTTGTACCTAGTTTTGCGTTGAAATCTCCCATTAACACCGTATTGTAGGTTTTGGAGGAATGCATGACTTCTTCAATCAATAATAAGATTGGCTTTCATTTCATATTATTTCATTTAAATTAATTAAATTATACAATTAGATTTAACAGAAATGAATAATGAATGAAAATATTTCACGCGCATCCACAGGTTTACAATTTAACAACTTCATACGGCAGTGAATTAGGTATGTTTTCAAAGTTGCATATTAGCTGAGTTAAAATCATCATCATCATTACATGTCCCTTCTTAAGTCCACTGCTAAAAAAGCCTCCCCCAAAGAATGTCACAAAGGACGGTCCATCGACTTTCTACATGTCTTACCGGGTAATATACCCCCATGAGTTAGAATATAAGGTTATATAGTGTTTCCGCAGGAAAAAGGCCCGTTTTATTCATTGGGTTTATAAGTTAATCCCGCCTAACCATCCAACCAAAATTTTTCTATTGCACGCCTCATAAGCGAAAGCTCATAAGAGAAGCGTTGAGGTTGTGCTCTACTCTCACCTAATGATAATCTAAAAATGTCTTTATTGTTTTGTTTTGATTATTGTGTTACGAGTGGTTCACAACAGTAGTCAATTGGTGGATTTAAATCCACGACCTTTTGAGTTACCGTACCTGCTATTTGGCTACAGTCGCTTCTAATTGATATTGGAGATGTTTTATGCAGTGCGATCCGCTTTTTGAGTGCTTATTTTTGGAATAGCCCGTGAAGAAGGTAAGTTCTTGGTAACTATGTTTAAATCGTGTAGTAACGGTGTAAGAATATCCACTACCCCATATCATCCCGTGAGTGTCGTACGAGGCGACGGAGGGAAACAAATCAGGAGATGGGCAACAGAGTCTTTGTATAATAAAGGCCAAAAAACTGCAGTTGTAAACCACTTGCCAAGCATGGCAACTGTATTAAATAGCCCCCATATAGGTGATTTATGGAGAAGGATTATATTTAGCAGTGAAATTTTACAGGCTGTAACGGTATTTATGTATATCACACTTAACAAAATGTCTTCCAGTCAGTATTTCGAACAGCGGCCAATTTTATTGGAGACTAGCTATTCTAGTACAGTATTATAGTGCATCATTGCGTGCGAAAGCACAAGTGCACTCCTACTCTCTTATGCTCATAATCCGATGGAACGGCAATCCGATACCACCATAAAGAAATTGAAACATCGCTTACTTCTTGAATTTGGGCTGCTGCTAAGAATTTCTCTACAGAAGAACCCAACAAGAGTTTTTGGCCCAAACTCGGGCCCTTCTGTTCAACAGTCGACATTTACAATAGGAATACAATACATAAGTAATTGTGGTAATGGTTTGTCACACACTTTCTCTTCATTAGTTTAAAAAATCCTCGATCATTTGCGGATTTTTAACGATTCCTACTAGAGTTAAATAATTGCACTGAAAGTAGCCTGAAGTATACTATATCACGATAATATCCTATAGAAGTTTAAATAACATCACATTAGCTATTCATTGTTTGTTAGCAGTTAAATTTATATTTGTAGTGTGCTCAGATAAATATAGATAAAATAAACGCACTGAATTGCATCAAGTCATGAAACCGAAATTGAAATAGGTTACATCATGAAATAAATTTGTATACAGTCATTGAACGTATCTCATTAATCATACACCATTTAACATGTCCAGCCAGATTTCATTTCCTATAATGTGTTAAAATCTATTTTGAATATAATTTTCAGTCTCAAACTATCAACAAATTTGACAAAAATCAATAAGGTCTTATTGAAGCATTATCGACGTTCTTTCTAGACAATTCCAGAAATTAGGTATATCATTCAAATCATTCAAGATTATAAGTATATTTCGTATTTTCGATGGCTCCATTGTAAAGTGGCTAAGTATTGGTCATAGCTCTGCAGCGTTGTGGTTCGAATCCCGCAAGCAACAGGTGTTTTTTTTTTCTTTATAAAAGTGAAGTGACACTTGAACTTACAATCAACCTGATAGCAAGTGGCTCCTGCAGTCCATGAACACCCGCAGCCTGTTGGCCTGTTGTTTAATATTTTAAGCAAATTTAATATTGAATGCTTCACATCATAGTTAATCTGGCTTTCTATACCCTTCAGACGGCAACACAGCGTACTTCTAAGAACTGGAAATAAAAAAATAATTTCATATTCTGATTTCGAAACTTTAATTCTTCTACATATTATATCTGAGCTCTGACTTCAGAATGTGAATTTATTTTATTCTTTCGAAATCTTATAAGACGGTTTTTATTTTTATTTAAAGTAACGTTTTCCATACATTGTAGGAAATAATTACATGATGTGTATTGTAATTCAGATTTTCCAGAATCCAAATATAGACATGTTTCCAGGAATCTAGATTTATGCACTATGGTTTTTAAGAGGATGTCAACACTGAATATTCACTTTTATAGTGTCCTCCAATCCGTTTTTCTGTCTACTGAACTAAACGAGACTAGCCATCCGCGCAGGAGAGGATTATAGTGCACGACTAAATGCGCAAGCACAAGTGCACTCTCAGTTCCCACACTCTCATAGTCCGATGCGACGGCAATCCGATATGACTAGAGAGCGAATAGGCTCAGGAACAATGGCTTTACGTGCTTTCCGAGGCATTCCGGGCTGCTACTGAGAGTTTCTTAACAGAAACTCATGACTTTGACCCTATCCAGAAATCGAAACCGGAGCCTCATGATCAGCAATCGTGGTTACGACGAAGAAAGCCGAAGTTAAAATCAAATTATTATTTGGTCTTCATAAGAAAATCACTAAGACATTATTTATTTGCGTCCTGGAAATGGATCATAAGTCTGAGAGTGTTATTTTAATTTTGTGAATATCACATTTTGATTCACCTTATTGTGTTCTTTTATATTCTAGATGAATTTTTAAATAATCAGAAGAACAATGTCAAATTTTTGTTTTTAATTCAAAAGTATTATTTATTCTATAGGAATAGGTTATAAACGAGCACACAGAGAAACACTTAGCTTTAAGGCAAATTTATAGCATCGTCGGTCTTCTGGTAAGGGAACAGCCAGTCTTCATGACAGGCGTTAAAGTCCCCCAGAAAGACCAGCTGTGCAGTAGGATACCGACTAAGAGCTACATCAGCAGCCCCACTAAGATGATCAAATAATCGTATTGACTCCTGGTCACCGCTGTGCGATCGATAATTTTTACTGACAAATAATTATTAGCCATCTCCTATAAAATTTTACTGGAAAAAACCCTTACAATCAAGTTTTTTTATTGTAAAATAATTATACTAATATATTTATTTAAAATTTTAGAGGTAATTATTCAAAGTTATAAACGCAGATTTTCTTTGACAACACTACTCCAAAATGTATTCACATTATACATTGGAATTTTGTATTGGAATTTAAAAAATTTAAAGAAATAGTGTAATAATTGTTGTTGTTTTTCTTTTAGCAATTGAAATTTTGTAAGAAAAACAGTTCTAGATTTAATTAATTCTTAGCATTTTTTTAACTAAAACCAAAATAAAAAATAGGAAATATTTGACATGAAACTAAAAGTAGAGTACACAAATTTAGCAACAAATAAATGAGAGTCATAGGAGCTTTAAGGACCCTCTTATATCGAAGCTAGAATCCAAGACATATTGACAGTAAATACTATTTTTTTAAAAAGTATATTATGTTACTCGAACAATAGAAAAGAGTTAGTAAATAGCAGCCTTAGCCAAAGCAGCCTTAAGCAACTAAAGCTTGTTTATCAATATTTGTAGGATACATGAAAACGACGTCGTTCGGTTTTAATTCCGGCGTTTCTTGATTTTCGTTCGCCTCACGTTCCAATCGCATGGCGTAGATGTAATAAACGAATATGAAGTACGCTGCCAAACCTGGAAATATAATTTAAGTTTCTATTGATAGTAGGTACATCATTTATTTATTTTTATAAGGCAATAACATCAAATCAAAAAATCAAATTGTTTCGGTTGGGGTATATTGTTATAGCGACAAATCCACCAAATTTTAATATCAACGAAACATTCCGTGTGGTCGAACTGGTAGAAAATCTAACATATATATATATATATATATATATATATATATATATATATATATATATATATATATATATATATATATATTATCCACTTACCATCAGGTTGATTGTGGGCTCGTTTGTGACACCCCAACATATATATTTATATACGCAGAATACTAGAGTAAAATAGCAGCTCTAAGCTGCTATTTTACTCTAGTATTCTGTGAGAGCGTGATCCTTTCCCGGTCGAGCCGACCCATTCGTGCTACAACTTAGTTGCAGCGTGGTTCTACCACGTAATTATATAATCATATATTCAATAAATACATACATTATATAATAAATAACCATGTACTAGTATCTGCCGGTAAAATTCCACTGCTGGGCAAAACTTGGGATTTGCCTTATTCGCAAGCTAATAATAATTTTCATATTATGGAAATATCTATCACTGAAATCGTTTAAAATAATAAGGAAAATAAAATAACTTTTTTATATGAGGGTGTGAGGCAAAAAGAGCATACGGCTCATCTTATGGTAGGTGACTACCGCCGCCCATGAACAATGGCAACACCAGGGGAATAGCAGATGCGTTTCTTTTGAAAACGTGAAGACTCTTTTCTTGAAGGTCTCTAAGTTATATCAGTTCGGAAAAATCGCTGATGATAGTCGATTTCACAAGGAAGTTGTGTGAGGAAGGAAACTTCTTGTAAATCGCACAGTATAGTACCGACAAACATCCAGATCATTTTTTTTAATAGGATAGGTTGACAAACGAGTACACAACCCACCTGATGGTGAGTGGTTGCTGTAGCCCATAGACATCTGCATCTATCCTCGATTACAAATCAAAATGCAGATACGTTGTCATCCGTGAGGATTGAGATGGAATGCCTCGTTTCCAGTTAAAAGGGTCTCCGGTTCTCTACACTCACCATACGAAGCACAGCAGCATTAAACTACTATTTTACGCTGGTATTCCGTGAGAGCGTGGTCCTTCCCAGGTCGAGCCGAATCATTCGTGCTACTACTATACCACTAATATAACTGCAGCATGGCTCTACCACAGTTAAAAATTTATACACATTATTACACAGTTATATCAAGTTTTCCAAAATATTCAAGCTAATATCGGACATTTTGCTGTAAATATATCTCTCGTGAGTCTTTCATTATTGTCATGTGGGTTGTGAGTTTTAAGATAGATGATACTAAATTTAAAATGGACGACAATATATTTAGAAATTAATAAACGGCGTATGCTTTAGAAGTTTTATTTATTTTTATTGGTGTAATATAACGAGTATCATACTATTTTCTGATTATTACGTATTTAATATATTCTGAATAAACGACCATTTCGGCCTATAAAAGTCCACCGATGAATAAAAAGCTTCTCCCACAGGTTGCCTGGGATATTATGCTGTATACAATAAAATTAAAATCAAACAAAGATATTGTATACAATTTAATATAGCATAATATTGTATTAATATTTTCCGACAAAATGCATGTCAAAGATTGGGCAACAATGGATTGCACACAAACCAACGATGACGCTCTAAGTGTTATGAGAACTAACATATTGTTAAATGAATGCTTCATTAATGGCGAAGGCATATATTACTATCCACGTGACTTCTTAAGATTTTATTGACATAAACAATTTAACAAAGCCGTGTAGCTCAGGGGATAAGCGCTCGCTGTAAATTTCACACAATAATTTCCCTGCCAATATGCGACGAAGTTGGAGTCCGTCATAACGCGCGTAGGCATTTCCCCATGTAAAAAATGCCGCTAGATTCATAAGGGGGAAGTTTGCTTTAGTAGTCCTGTTTGGCAGGTGGGATTATATCTGTGCGCATTTTCTTATGTCACTCAAGGGACGATATACGGTAGTTGATATTCTATACTATTTTCCTTAATTTACACTTCACTCAATTTTAACATTGGTAGAGCCACGCGGCAGCTTTGCTGTTGCACGTATGGGCCGGCTAAAACCGGGGTGGTACCACGGAAGCTCTGCTTCCGCGTTTCGTCTGGTGAGTGCAGGTGGCCGGAGGCCCAAATCCTCCCCCCCCCCCCATCAACATGGTAGCGGAATTAAATAATGATAGACTACCCCAGGAGGGTACCAGCACCCCTGGAGAATCCCTCGCTGAGCATCCACGACCATGTTTCTTCACTTCTGAGCAGGGGTGCTCAGGTTGCCCCGCGTATTCTGGAGGGGGGGGGGGCAAAATTCCGCTCAAGACTACAACTGCTCGGGGCAAACGGAGCAACAAGACCAAGGCGACCCCTGCCACGCTGTCTGTGAATTTCTGCAATATCAGGGGACTTCACTATAACCTAAACGCCGTCCACTACCCTCTTAAGACGGCGAGGCCGGCTCTGCTCTTTCCGACCGAGACGCAGGTGTCCTCTCCGGCTGATGTCTCGTATCTCTCCTACCCGGGGTACAAACTGGAACACTGCTTTGTGACTCTGACTTTGTTTGCGTTTACATCAGAGAGGACATCTGTTCTCGACGCCTCGGCAGACTTGAAGGTTCGAACCTGTCCATCCTTTGGCAACGCGTAGACAGCGACGACCATCCGCGCGTCTACGGGTGCCTCTATAGGTCCCATAGCGGTAATTCCGAAACAGACCGACTCTTTGACCACGTCCACATGGCTACAGATTCGTTGCTACAGCAGATCCCCTCCGCAGAAATCGTGATCCTCGGCGACTTTAACGCCCATCACGCCGAATGGCTTGGTTCACGTTTAACTAATCACGCGGGGAGATTGGTTCATGATTTTGCCTTGGCATATGGTCTGACACAACTGGTTACTTCGCCTACGCGGATTCCAGATGTGGAGGATCATGTACCTTCCCTGTTAGACCTTCTGCTGACCTCTCACCAGGACGGATATCAGATTTCCGTCGAAGCCCCTTTAGGCTCCTCGGACCATTGTCTTGTCTGTAGTGTGGTGCCACTCACGCTGAAATCGCAGTTGCATTCTGCAGGCTGCCGCCGTGTTTGGCACTATAAGTCAGCCGATTGGGATGGGATGCGGTCTTTCTTTGCATCCTACCCTTGGGGGAGGGTTTGCTTCTCGCTGGACGATCCCAACGTTGTTGCGGATTCTGTCGCTGATGTGGTACTTCAGGGTATGGAACTTTTTATTCCTTCCTTTGTGGTGCCCATTGTTATTTGGTATCCCATGGTTTGGTCGCTCCTGTAAAATAGCATCATGCTATAAGCAGGAGTGCTAACGAGCCTGGGCTGACACATCAACGTCACGGGATTTAAACACCAGCGCTCTAAAAAAGAAGTATAATTCCGCCTCTAGGTCCTTCAAGAGTCATAGCCAAGGCAAAGTCAGAGCACATAGGCAGAATTGGCGAGAAACTAGTTCACCTTCCTTCTGGAACCCGTCTATTCTATTCTCTTGCTAAGGCTGTCCAGGGGAATTTCTGTCAGCCATCTCTTCCATCTCTACACAGGGAGGACGACTCACTGACCCATACCGCAAAGGAGAAAACCGAACTGCTAGGCTCTTTCTTTGCGTCCAACTCGACTTTCGAAGCCGGGGGATTACGCCGCAGACCATCCCACGGTGTGAGTGCTCCATGCGGAAGTGCAGTTCACACAGCGCTCGGTTCGCAAAGCACTCCTCTCCGTGGACATTCACAAGTCGAGTGGGCCTGGCGGAATTCCCACAATAGTGCTGAGGACGTGTTCTCTAGAGTTGGCACCGGTTTTAACGCGTCTTTTCCGGTACTCCTACTCCCTAGGCGTAGTCCCAAAATCATGGAAGACTGGCTTTCGTCCACCCGATCCCTAAAAAAGGCGACCGCTCAGACCCGCCCAACTACCGGCCTATAGCCATCACCTCCTTGTTCTCCAAAACAATGGAGTCCATTGTAAACTGCCAGCTCATGAGGTACCGTGAGGATCACCAGCTGATTAGTGACCGCTAATACGATTTTTGCCGTGGTCGGTCAGTTGGTGATCTTCTGGTCTACCTAACACACATATGGGCGGAGGCAGTAGAGTCCAAGGGGAAGGCATTTTCCGTTAGTTTGCACATTGCGAAGGCCTTCGATCGGGTTTGGTACAAAGCGTTTCTTTCAAAGCTCCCTTCCTATGGGCTTCCCGAGAAATTGTGCAATTGGATCACCAGCTTTCTTGCAGATCGGAGCATCAAAGTCGTTGTAGACGGTGCAAGCTCCTATTGCAAGCCTATTAATGCTGTTGTTCCACAAGGCTGCGTGCTATCGCCAACGCTATTTCTTCTGCATATCTGTGATATGATGCAAACCCGTAACATTCATTGCTATGCAGATGACAGCACTGGTGATGCTTTTTACACCGGCCGAGCCAATATTTCTCGGGAAAACGTCTCGGAGTGCTGGGACAAACTTGTGTCTGAAGTCGAGTCTTTATCGACTAAATCTAGTCCAGTTTAACTCCCAGAAGACACAAGTTTGCGCGTTAATCGCTAAAAAGAACCCCTTTGTCGTATCTCCTCAGTTTCAAGGCACTCCCCTTCTTGCCTCAGCCGGTATCGGAATCCTCGGCGTCGACATATCGAGTGACGTGCAGTTTCGTGGTCACTTGGAAGAGAAGGCCAAATTGGCCTCTAAAAAGCTTGGCGTGCTCAGCAGAGCGGGACAGTATTTCGTGCCGGCACACCGCCTGCAACTTTACAAGGCGCAGGTTCGGCCACACATGGAATACTGTTCTCATCTCTGGGCTGGGGCTCCCCAGTATCAGCTCCTTTCACTTGACCGCATCCAGCGCAGAGCGGCTTGAATCGTCGACAACCTAGTGCTTTCCGATCGGCTCGATTCACTGGCACTGCGAAGTGATGTTGCATCTCTTTGCATTTTCTTTCGCATATACCATGGAGAGTGCTCTGAGGAATTGTTCGGATTAATCCCAGCCCCCAAATTTCGTGAACGCACTACGCGGCAAACGTCCCGATACCATCCACACCATCTGGATGCTTGGCGGTCCACCACTGTATGTTTCAAAAGGAGTTTTCTTCCGCGTACAACCTCTCTGTGGAGTAGTTTACCACTGGCGATTTTTCCGGACCGATACGACTTGGGGACCTTCAAGAAAAGAGCTTACTCCTTTCTAAAGGGCCGGCAACGCCACGTGTTGCGGTTGATCATGGGCGGCGGTAGTCACTTAACATCAGGTGAGCCGCGTGCTCATTTGCCCCCTCTTCTATAAAAAAAAACTTTTATTCGTCATTGAATAAAACTTGTAAAATTAGTTTTATTTAGTTCAATATTCTTTCAACGCCATCACACGGTACGTCGGTTCTCGATACGTCTGTAAAACCAAATCAACTAGACTTCTAGAAGTAGGTGGAAATTTAAACAAACAAACAGGTCAAGGAACCTAGCTCCAATTCATTCATTTATTTCATTTTCATTTATTTTATTTTTATTTCATTTAGATTCATCATGATTGGCAGGCAGATTAACGATGCAGTACCAAACGTCTCGCACCGTTGACTCTGCTGCCCGTCGTTGGTCTTTGTATTTCACCATGCCATGTCATTTATCGGAGGTCGTGAAAATTTCTGGCGATGCCCATGAATGCCATAACAAATACGAACAACACACCCCAGAGATCGCGACGCTTTAGTCTCTACTTTACTTATTTTTTTACTTTTGTTGTTCCTTTCTTTTCTGCGTTGTTAAGTAATCAATAAATTCCTCAATATAAGTAGAATAATAGGTTTAATTAATGCTAATAGCTTCAATTCACCCTGTATAAACTTACTTTAACTGGATTTAATTTATAAATTATCTTACCTAGATCAACACTGTAAATTATAATTGTTTCAGGGCTGGTATGGCCCGGAATAATGAGGTATACAAGGCCGATAGCCATAAGAATTAGTCGTGTAGTTGCAAACGTTACGTACATCTTGATGGGACCAGGCCGTTTCTGTAAGCAGAGAAATTTTAAAGTATTAATTTAATTACTTAACATACTTAGTACTTATATGAAAAGTTTTCAAAAGTTAAAATAACATAATTGAAGATTGCACTTTAACTTCTAAAGTATGCTTTAAAGTCTTCAGAAAAAATCATATGGATATCCCTTTATTAGTCACTAGAAAATGCTGATATAAAGATATAAGGATAAAATAACTTCAATTCCATGGCAATATTTTGTTAAAACATCTTAGAAGATAATAAATTGTGCTTAATTTATTTTCTTGTAAGAAAAGTGACACTATCTTCAACGCACAATGTTTAATATATAATATTTCAAATCGTTATCATCATCATCATGATACTAAGGATTTCCTACGATTTTCCCTAAGGAATGTCACAAAAACGAACTTTAGCAACCTGCAGCCTTCAAATTGTCCTACCAGTGCGTCACTCCATCTAATTGACTAACTGACATTCATTACGTTTAACGAAACAAGGTTGATTCTTGAAAATCTTTCTTTCCCATTGATTGTCGGTTTTTCGAGCTAACTATGTACGATACTTAGCTAAAATCTATGAAATATTTATCTCGAAGTTGTAAGAAACAATATGATTGCAGTATTTTTAAACGGGTATGTTTCATCGTTATCATTGTAATTACAGCTCATCACAAGTCCCCTGATGAACATAGGTCTCGCTCAAGGAATGTCAAAAGGCACGATCCTGAGCCAAATGCATTCTCTGACCAGGTCGTCATCTAGTGGAAGGCCGCCTACACTTCGCGCGTCTGTAAGAGTTTGCTCCTCGAGAACCTTTCTTCACCATCGGTTGTCGGTTTTTCGAGCTACATGACTAACCCGTTGCTACTTCAGCTTATCAATCCATTGACTATAGCGGTTATCCTGGTTCTACTTACAATATACTTACTTATTACGAAGTTTATTACACAAAGAAACTCTAAGGATAGCCATGTGCACACCTCACTAAATGATCATATGACAGTGAAGAAGACAGCCTAGATCCATATCCAATACGCACCTATCAAGAACTATGGTTTTCAAGTTTTGAGTTACACACGGCGAAAAGAAATGACTCCTAATCTCCCGAACGCTGCCCAACCGAGCTGGATCCGTCGATTGACCTCGGGTTCTCTAGGTAAACATACTCCAACAATTACAGGCATAGTTGTCACGTGAGCGTTACACATGACATTCGTCTTGTCCATGTTAATTTTGAGATTATTAAGTATAGTGCTGTGGTTCTCCAGTGATTCTGCCATATTCATGACTATTATGCCATGACGAATGTAAGTTTTATATATGGCAAATAGATTTTTCTAAAATAATAGCATTGTTATATATTCCCTTTAACTATTCCTGATAAACTTTAAATTCTTGTGTTAAGAGTGGTTTAAGACTGTAGTCGATTGATGAATTCGAATCCACGACCAATAAAGTTCGAGGTCCGCACCCTGCCATTATATTATAATTATGGCGGATATGTTCTGAAATAGGCTCAGCAGCACTGTCGCTTAAAAACCTGTGTCACAAGGTCATATCCAAATAATAAAGCAAAGCACGTACCTTGTGCAAGCCAACCAAACAAGCCACATTGATGACCAACCAGACGATTTTCATGGATAGAGCAATCAGTAATAAAACTTCGACATGAAGCAGCAGTGGCCTTTCAAGAGACTTAATCTCGGTAACTCTTTCAGTTTGAGCACGTGGTTGGTCGATAGCGAAGTGATTAAACCAATGAGTTGAAAATGCTATGGACGCAGTAAGAGTAACGAGGCAAAGCGTGTGGATTAGGTTGATGATCTGAAAAAGAAAAGCATTTATTGTAGTAACTGGTGAAAGAGCTGTGGTCAAAATTCGATAGTTATTTAAAAAAAACTATATATTAATAAAGTTATATTTCACTTCCAACTGCACATTAATATACACAGATATTTAATACACAAAATATAAAATAAAACCATACATACATCCATTACAGTTATTTCATCAACCTGTTAGTAATTATTTGTTAACAATATTTAAAATTCTTCGAAACAAATAAAGTAGTGATAATAATATAATCTTGCAGTCTCTGCTCTTGCCCTGTACTACAGTTTGGACACAGACTACAATGTGTGTTGACTACTGTGTGTGTATGTTTGTTTCTGCACTCCTCTATATAAAATTCTACTAAGGCAAATCTCACACTCCTCCGTGGACGCAATATGCTTAGAAAGAGGTTGGGAGAATAAATTAATAGGTAAAAGAAATTAGAAATGCAGGTAGTTTTCTCCTAAAGTGTTAATATTAAGATTATTGGTTTACAAGCCGTGGTAACTTAGGGGCTCAACTTGGCACAAATTTTAGCGTACTCCGTGATTTCAACCCAGCTTTAATCTTCGCCGGCATCAAACGAAATTGTTTATAAAAATAAAAAAAATTAAATTGAAATGTAATGTTTGCGTATGTCGAAATTGATAATTACAATTTTAAGTGCTAATTTAACACGTGCTCAGCAGTGGAGAAAAACATAGTGAGAAAACCTGCATCCAATGAAATATTTAGAGGATGTAATCATTCAAAAATAGTAGTGTAGCGCGGTGTACTAATTGCTTTATAACCTCCTAGAAATGAAACGAGGCCTTGGCCCATTTATGGGATATATATTGGCTGTGACCTTGCTTTTATTGGTTTACAATAATATTAATATAGTGTGCTGAGTTCAAAATTCTGTACAAAACACACCAATTGTTGCACTTATTTCTTTCAAATTGGTAGCTTCAATCATAATAATTATATTTTGTTGCAATCAACTGTAGTAGCATAAATCTAAATTAGTTCGACACAGTTCGACATATCATATTTCCATTTTATAGTATAGAGTCACGCTGCAGCTATATATTATTGTTGTATCACGAATGAGTAGGCTCGACCGGGGTAAGACCACGCTCTCACACAATATCATCGTAAAATAGCAGCCTAATGCGGCTGTGTTTAGTATGGTGAGTGTAGAGAACCAGATACTTTTTTTACTGAAAACGAGGCATTCCATCTTAGTCCTCAAGGGTGAAAAAGTATCTGTATTTTAATTATTAATTGAGGATAAATGTAGATGTTACAGTATCCACATATTATCGGGTGGACTGTTTGTTCGTTTTTCATTCTATTCTAAATAATAGTATTAATTGTACTAAATAGACTTTTGAATGTGTCCATTAAAGATTATTGTAATTTATTGTAAATTTATTATCTGTTCGAAAATTCACAATTTTCTTAACATGCCTCATATGCGGTTATGTTTTCTTTTTTCTCATCCTTAATTGGCCCAAGCTGGTCGTCACTAGCTCGTCACAAGTATCTCTAGTTGTAAAGGTGGACTTAAAATATTCGTCACACTTTGGAAGCGGATTAGTACCAAACATTACATACCCTAGACGCTACTCTACATCATCTGTTTTGGTAGTTTACGTCTAATTTTAAGGAGAATATTTATTACAATCTATCTGATGGTAAGTGGCTACTGCAGTACATGGAAATCTGCAGCTGACTTTAAACAAAAGAATGCTACAGATGCATTGTCACCTCTAGGACTTATATGAAACACCTATTCCCCACCCACTATTCTATTATTATACTGGCTGTCTAAGAAGCTTGCAACGAACGAAGTTGTACGAGCAGGGAAGCCATGAGACAATTCTGGTGTTTCCCATAGTTGTTTCTTACGACTGTCCCTAAAGAAAATGAAGCGATTGATTATCTATCGTTAACCACAGAGCAAACACACATGGAGTACGAAAATATTTACAGAATCAAATTATAGATTATTGGAAATAGTTAATTGAATCAAGTAAATGAATTATCTATAGAATAAATAATAGTAAAATAATATCAAATTTCCCTTGCAACCTATATCGAATATGTACAGAATACTAAAAGCATCTTTTTTATCTAAATATCTTGTGTATGTAAATAAGGCACTAAAGCTTTTATACTCTCATTTTCACTTAATTTTTTATACAACAAGTCTACGCTGAAGTAAGCGATTAATGTCTTTAGATAGAATTTGTGCGAGAAAAGAATTTACTATACATTACCTAACTTAAAAGATAAAGGTGGTAAGGCCTATTTTATAGAATATTTACTCTTTACGTACCATGTGGTGCAGAAGCTTATAAAATTATATTATTTTGTTATGAATGCGTTCAAGAAATTACGAGACATCTTTTTAAGAATTTAGAAACAAAAAAATCCAATTTATAGGGGAGGCCCATAGAAAACATTCCGTGTTCTGTGGGGACGCCTTTATTGAGAAGTATTAAATAGTAAAGAATACCTTTTATGCAATACAGATTACAATAGTACTTATTTGAAGTCTTGTATACCTGTTTGAAGCAAATTGTTGGACTTTTGCTGGTTTGCAATAGTTACATTATGGGAAATATTTTTTTAATTATTTTTTCATTCAGATACGCTGTAAAAACAAATAATTCATATTTTGTGTTTGAAAACTTAGAGTGATAATAACTGGCAACTCAGAATCGTGCTTTTGGCAAACGTTATCATAATATTACAGAATTGTGATGAATGGGTGGGCACAAACAAGAAATAAACACACTCTTAAAACCAACAGGTTTAAAGCTGATGCCTTTTGAATAGTGTATGTAGAATCGGAGACCCTTTTAACTGATAACGAGGCGTTCAACCTTAACCCTCAGTGGTGACAACGCACTCCCATGAATTATATGCTCGAATGTGTTATTCTATAAAAATCTTTGAGTAAGTTATAAAAATATGAAAAAGTGGAAAATCATACCAGATTCAGATAACCTAAAATGAAGCATCCGATTCTTATAGGGATACAGCAGCAGCATTTTGTGAAAAGTGTCCCCGACTGAGATGTCGTAGACATTCTGAAAAAAAAAATATTTATGCATAATAATTCTTGATATAATTATGTCCTATATACAGAATTCCAGTCACCGCAGCCGGTCCCAACGTAGATTAGCCATCTGCGCAGGACAAAGTTATGTGGCACGAGTGTATGCGCAACACAGGTGCTCTCTTCTCTCACTCATATAGTCCGGAGGTACGGTTATTTGATACGATCGGAGAGGAATCAGTGTACAGAAGTATAACCCATAATTTAGACCTTACAGTTGTGAAAAGCCTTTGATGTCAGGCGATGCCGCCGCCCTCGTAGGTATTGACGCGGCCAGCGTGTAAGGCGCGGTTTACATTTTGAGAAGTGACAAGTGCGAGTGACAATTACAAGTGACAAAAGACAAGTGTTCACACGCACTGAACAGGCAGTGACAAGTGACAAGTGGGAATTAAATACCACTTGTTACTTCTCACTTGCCACTTGTCAGTTGTCACTCGCACTTGTCACTTCTCCAAATGTAAACCGGGCTTATGATAGGGGTTGTCACGAAAAATTAATAAAATAATTTTGTATATTTTAATACTCATTATCATTCATTATCATTATGTACATAAGTAAAAATAAATCATACAAGATCAGTTTTTATTACTACAAGAAAAACACATTTATAAGGGTTGCACTGCCAAATATTTTCGCGACACTTTCTTTTTTATTGATATAACCATGGCTGTCTTTTAAAATCAATTTTACTTAGTAACTCATATAGCTATCACAGTAATTCACCATTTTATATATATATATATATATATATATATATATATATATATATATATATATATATCTCGTAATCACCTCTTACTACTCCTACGCTGAGTTTTTTTCCGAAATATAAGTAATAAGAGAACTTGCAGCTAATCTGATGGTAAGTGTCTGCTGAGTCTATTTCAGAACAATATGATTATCAATATCCGCCATATTGAATTCATTGTGACAACGTAAGTAATTCACCACCCCTATTCCCTCCCGTGGATGTCGCAAGGGAAGACTATAAAGTTTAAGTTACAGCCTATTATATACGTCCCGCTCCTGGGCACAGGCCTCCGCTCATTTCTAAGAGGGTTTTTCCTTTCCTTTCGACAATTCCTTGCCCTAACAAGGAATTGTCCGACGCGCTGCCCCAATGCGTGTTGGCGAACTTCACATGACTTCGAAATATTTTTTTCTTATTTCTCAGACAAGCAGGTTTCCTCACGATGTTTTCCTTCACAGCCGAGCACGTGGTAAATCAGCACTTAAATTGCAATCAACAATTTCATTGGTGCCGGCGGGGATCGATCCCGGTTTGCTCGCGTGCTATGAAATGTACAGCGATCGCCATCGATCACTAATAACTAATAAGTGATCAATTGCGAGCGCTAACCATCTGAGCTACCATGGCTCTAAGGGACGACTATGCTTATAAATAATTCTCATTTGAAAAAGAAGAATAATAACATGATTATTTCATAATGTCGTTATATAGAGAGCACAAAGGGCGGGCCCAATGTCGCCCAATTTCGTAAGAGGGTATTCAATAAAGACTAAATAATGTAAAATTGACATCATTATAAGTTTATAAGCCTGTGTTACCCGCGCAAACGTGATATATCGATTGGGATGATATATTAATTTGTTAAATTCCGTCTGGAGGGAAAAGAAATGAAAAGAAATAAAAACCGTTTCACCGCAGTTGGGTTGTTGTTGTTGTTGTGCTTGCTTTCGCAAAACTTGCATTTTTAATAAACGTAACTTTCACTCACGTAATAGTTACTACACTAATTGTTATGTTCATATTTTCATAATAAAATTACGTGACGTTTATATTGAAGTGTCACATCTTATGATTAAAAGCACATCGTATGTTGTGGATATTATCCCTTCCTCTTCGGTGTTTAACCGACTTTAAAAAAGAAGGGGTTATTAGTTCATCTCTATTCGACATAGTAATGTTTGTAAAAATATATCTTCTTAGATCATTCATACATTAATTACAGCCTCTCGAAATCAACTGCTGAACATAGGCCTCCCGATAGATTGACTCACGAGGAGGATATTTGACATAGTTGCCACTCCTGGCAAGCGGGTTGGCAGCCGCAGTGTTTATAGTTCATACCCTAGTTGTTATTGGACGCTGCAGGAGATGCTCTGGTTTGTTTGTCTCTGTCGCCTCTTACGACACCAACCAGATAATATGGGGCAGTATATATTTTTACTCCGCCACTGCACAGTTATACCACAGTTAAAAAAAAACTTACATTTGGGAAACAAATGTATTTGCGTATAGCAACTGGTGGAGCCACGTGTTTAAGGCTGCCGAAAATCTAGTTCCCCGGTCAAACCTCAAACCTATTACGCGAGATATTAACTAAAGCGGACTGTATTTGCGATTGCTTCTACGCTTACGTAAAGTGACTACTATAGCATGCGGTACAATGCACTCGCTCTTCCCTAAACTAAAACTATTACTTGCCAAATCGATAAAAGGAATCCTGCCTGATGAGGAGAACACAGAATTGGAACGGTTAAAACAATCATTAAATATTAATCAGGCAGTAAATTAAGGAATATTGACTCACCGGGGTTTCTTCTATCCTGTCGATCACTATAGCGACTTCTGGAACACTCCGGAGAGGGGCGGTGCGCGACGATATCTCACACGAGGTGAGGCGGGTTCCTGGAGCTCGACTGCTTCCAGGCCAAAGCGGTTTCCACTAGTGAGGTGTTTCCAAACGAGCGCGCGGGAAGAGAGATCGCGCGTCGGTCGCGCGTGTCTTATATATCCTCGGCTCCGATGATTACGCGATGTTCTAGAATCGTCTTCTTTCCCCTCCCACCCCATCACCCCGATGTGTCGATAGGAGGGTACGAATGATATCGTTTTGGAAAGGAATAATGATTCAGCAAGTTCCTACCGTCATAAATAAAAAAACGCGAATGGTTTTCCGCGCAACCATCTCCCCCGCCCTTGAAGGATTTCCTTCAAAAAAATAACTAAACAACTAGAGCTAAGATCAACTAACAAATAACTAACTAACGCTAAGATTACCTAAATTCAACTACAATTTTAATCTAGAAATCTAATTTAAATTATGGAAGAGGCAAGGGGCACAAACGGACAACAGGACGTAGGTAAGACCCAACCGTGGTCTTAACGCGAGCTATCCTAATTACTCCGTCGGAACCGGGAAAGACCTCCTCGACGATTCCTAACGGCCAGTGGAGAGGCGGCGTATTCTCCTTAGTGAGCACAACTACAGTTCCTACCGCTAAAGGCTCTGTCGCTGTGTTCCATTTTTGCCGAGACTGCAAAGTATGCAAGTATTCCATCCTCCATCGTTTCCAAAACGATTGCACTAACCGATCCAATAATTTGTGGCGTGCGGAAATGCTAAGTCTGTTCTCATCCATATCCGCGGCGGGCAGATACCTTAGAGGCGTTAAATTCAAAAAATGTGCTGGAGTTAGAGCCAGCGGTTCCGAGGGGTCACTAGATAACGTCCGACAAAGTGGGCGGCTATTCATTACGCATTCAATTTGAGCGAGCACCGTACTTAGCTCTTCGAAGGACAAAATTTGATCTCCTATTACTCGGTATAAGTGGCTCTTTAGACTTTTAATATTAGTCTCCCAATTGCCCCCAAAATGACTCGCGGCTGGGACGTTCAGAGACCACTCAATGCGGTTCTCGGCTAGAATGTGAGCGAACTCCGAATTATAATACTTGCTAGCTAAGAGCTCATGTAGTTCCGATAGAATACGTTTTTCACCGACGTAGTTCGTACCGTTATCCTAATATAATTTACTTACAGGGCCTCTGCGGGATAGAAATCTTTTAAATGCACCCATAAAGCCTGCTGTGCTTAGATCACCAACGAGTTCTATATGCACTGCTCGAGTAGTTAGACATACGAAAATGCAGACGTAAGCCTTTGTGGATCTTATACCACGCCCGCGAGTGAGCGTGACCTTAAACGGACCAGCAAAATCAGACCCGGTGTGCGTGAAGGGCTTTACTGATTGTATCACTCTGCAAGATCTAAGTTCCGCCATTTCCGGAAATGACGGCTTGGGGCGTGCCCGAAAGCAAGCTATACATCTGTGCACCCGATTGCATATTAAACTACGTGCAGAAAGAATCCAATAATTCTGACGCAAGATCGACATCAATAAATCGGGGCCAGCGTGCGAGTTCAATTTATGATGATAATCGACTAATAAGTTCATGATATGGTCTTTACGCGGTAAAACTATAGGGTGCCGTTGGTCGAAACTCAATTGCGAGTTGGACAAGCGTCCACCTACCCTTACAATCCCATCCTGTAAAAATGGCTTAAGGCGTTGAAAGGCGCGACTACAAGCTCTATTCGATTGTAATCTTGTAATTTCTTCGGAGAAGTGCGCACGTTGAAGTTCACGTAATACTAGCGACTCGGCATAGTTGTAATCGGATGCTAAGATATACGAACGTCGCGGTAAAAGCTTCGCGAATCGACAAACGTAAATTACGCTACGCAATAATTTCGACCAAGAGGACAAGCGGTTCGCCAGAGCAATGATTGGAGAAACCTCGCTTGAAACGTTCGCCACTAGAGCGTGTCTCTTCTCTTCCGGCGGTTGTGACACTGACGAAGGTTCGAAATCGGTTATTGGCCATTGTGAGGGATCCAAGTGAACCCAAGAAGGTCCATGGAACCAAAGCGGGTGGTCCATTATTTGCATCGGGGTGAGTCCCCGGGATAGACAATCGGCAGGGTTTTCCTTACCGGACACGTGATAAAAGTTCCGCGTTTCTAACTCGTCTTGGATCTTGGCCACTCGGTTCGCGATAAACGTATCCCAACGTTGGGGTGAAGAATGAACCCAACATAAGGCGACGGTGGAGTCGGAAAAAGCAAATATCCTTTCTATGTGAACTCTATCCCTACATGCGCCGATAACTGTGGTAATAAGCTTGGTGAGTACTAATATTGCGCAAAGCTCTAAGCGCGC